TGCATTTAATTTAAATATACAAATAGGATACAAAAAAAAAGAAATTCTAAAAATATTATAAATAAAAATAGTTTTTAAATTGAATTTAAAAAAGTATTTTATATTCAGATATATTACAACTTTCAATATGAAGAAATACATTTTTCTACAAATAAATATCTCTATTTTTCAAAAAATTCGTATATATTGGTGGACATAGAAAGTGTTTCATACAGAGAAGTAATGGAAGAAAAAAACTGAAATTTAACTCGAATTGATTTCGTATGGCGTGTAATAAATAATGAAATTCCAAATGTCTAAAAAAATATAGTTAAATGCAGGCACATTTTCATTTTTAACTATTAAGTCTAAAGAAAAAATCGTACAAATGTGAAATTGTACTGGGATAAGGTTCATAAATTAAGAAAATTAAAAAAAAAAAACATCTCCTTATCGCGCAACTGAAAGTTGCTGATGGCTTTCGCCATCTATCGGAATAAATATCAACTATTCGTTGATTTTTTATTGTATTCCAGAATTGACCAATCTTGATTAAACAATTATAGATGGCTCAAGCCATCAGCAACTTTCAGTTGCGCGATAAGGAGATACCTTTTCTCTTTTCTTATTTAGTCTATGTAGTGTCCTGTTCGTACACCAAATTTCGCCGAATGTCGTGGTCTATTTGGATGAGGAAAGCGAAGAATAGAACGCGGCTGATTCCACACTCGTCTTTTCAGTGATACGTTAACTTATGCACGGTGTGGCCACTGGACATACGTCGGACCTGGAGGCTGTTGTTGGGTTCTGTGCTGTCTGGATTACAGGAGCTCCATCTATGCTTCATTCCTGTGGTGAATCTGTATAAGACCTGTGGTCTTAATAAAGCTGTGTGTGTAAGCTGAAATCGCTACACTTGGAGGCTGTTGTTGGGTTCTGTGCTGTCTGGATTACAGGAGCTCCATCTATGCTTCATTCCTGTGGTGAATCTGTATAAGACCTGTGGTCTTAATAAAGCTGTGTGTGTAAGCTGAAATCGCTAAACTTGGAGGCTGTTGTTGGGTTCTAGGCTGTCTGGAGTATAGGAGCTCTATCTATGCTTCATTCCTGTGGTGAATCTGTATAATACCTGTGGTCTTAATAAAGCTGTGTGTGTAAGCTGAAATCGCTACACTTGGAGGCTGTTGTTGGGTTCTAGGCTGTCTGGAGTATAGGGGCTCCATCTATCCCTTCTTCCTGTGGTGAATCTGTATAAGACCAGTGGTCTTAATAAAGCTGTGTGTGTAAGCTGAAATTGCTACACTTGGAGGTTGTTGTTGGGTTCTAGGCTGCCTGGAGTATAGGAGTTCCATCTATGCTTCCTTCCTGTGGTGAATCTGTATAAGACCGCTGGTCTTAATAAAGCTGTGTGTGTAAGCTGAAATCGCTACACTTGGAGGCTGTTGTTGGGTGCTGCGCTGCCTGGAGTATAGGAGCTCCATCTATTATTTTTTCCTGTGGTGAATCCGTATAAGACCGCTGTTCTTAATAAAGCTGTGTGTGTAAGCTGAAATCGCTACACTTGGAGGCTATTGTTGGGTGCTGCGTTGCCTGGAGTATAGGAGCTCTATCTATGCTTCCTTCCTGTGGTGAATCTGTATAATGCCTGTGGTCTTAATAAAGCTGTATGTGTTTGAAACCAAGTTTAGAATGGCACCAGTTCTTTCTGTGTTTAACACTCTCTATTTCTGTATATAAGCCTGACACAAACCGGATTGTAAAATTACTCTTCTTGGTTATAGTAACAGTTTCAAAGTTTTTTTTTTTTTTAATTCAACAAAAATATCTTATCACTTTTTAACTATCTCACAGAATCCTGAAGATAGAGGCTGCCTGGCCGGCATTGATATTTCTATGAAAAAGAGACACTTCGGCCAGTTAGAGTCTTTTTTTTTTCTCTCAATGTTTCGACAAAAATCTTTTGTCTTCGTCAGGAGAAGTTAATAAAATAAAGCATTTGGCAAGGCGTTAAAAATTGTTAAAAAACGCCTTGCCAAATGCTTTATTTTATTTACTTCTCCTGACGAAGACAAAAGAATTTTGTTGAAACGTTGAGAAAAATAAAAAACTCTAACTGGCCGAAGTGTCTATTTTTCATATAAATATCCCAAAGAAGTCATTGTAAAACAATAATATACGTGGAAAGATGTACGCCTGCTTTACTTACCAAAAGAAAAAGAAGGGTAAAATACCTGTTGGGCGGAATTTCTTCATTTTCTTTGTCCAGTTTCGTATTTTCTGTAAAAAGACGCAATATGTTGTGAGAGATGTGGTTCTGTCATTATTATCATTTGTTACAAGTTAGAAACATAGAAACAACAAACAGTGTTTAAAAACTATATTAATAATATATATATTATACAGAATAATCAGTAACTTATGTATATAACACTATATATATATATATTTATTTATAACTAGCGGATGTACCCGGCTTCACCCGGGTTTTACCCGAGTAAAGGTTTGTCTAACGAATCTCTCGATAAAGTGAACATTTTTTCCCGGTCCCTTGAAAAATACTCGATAAGTTGAATAAAATCAATATTAATTGGTTCCCTCGGTAATTGGAAGTTAAAGAAATAGTATCTTGCCTTGGAATTGTATCATTATTCTTGTCTCAAATAAATTGCCGTGTCATCCTGAATTTTGTCTTTCCTAATTTTCTATATTACAAAATCATCATTTTATCTATTCTCCCAATATAACTAACTTTGACTTGTGCGCAATTAATAGGTAGAAAATCTTACTTTTGATGAATAATCTTTAAGATAATAAACTTAGTGATAATAAAACTTATAGATAAAAAAACTTATTATCATCGTCGCAATGGGGGCGCTGCTTTCGAGTTGAATCTACAAATCTGCAAATAACTCTAAGGATATTCAAGATATTCAATAAATTATTTTTCAGAAACCTTCCCAGTACTATACTAAATAACTTCCCAAAGTTTCATGGCGTTCCAATGAGTGGTTTGGTCAGGCATAAAGGACACACACACATTCATTTTTATATATAGAGATTATATGTAATTCTACTGTCCTCAAAGCTTATGTCCATAGTTCATCTAAAATACCCATTCCAAGAGTCTAACATCAGTATCACTATAAAAGGAAGATCGAAAAATGCAATATAACAGCGGTATGGTAGATTAAACTGGCGAAACCGCTGGGAGGGTTCACCACTGATGAGCCAGGCCCTCCCATTAATTTTCCATTGCAGTAAGGGCAGTAGAAATTGTTTAATTTCAAAAAGAATCTTACGCGTCTATAATAGTTTCAAATTTATATATATATATATATAACTTACATATATAACACTAAAAAAATGAAATTTAATACTTAAAATGAACGCTGTATTTCTTTTCAAATTTTCTAAAATTTGAAATCAAAATGGCGGCAGGTTAATACTATCGTCTGATTCATTTAACGAATTGTAAAAAAAAAACAAACGAAACTTCGTATTGTCTAAATAACTTAACAAAGATATAATAACTAACATGAATAAATAATTAATTAAATGTTTTACTGGTGAGATAAAAGACAACACACTTTCACGGTCAAATAGAAATGGAAGAAAGAAATTTATGGATTGCATTTGAATAGAATGGTCGATAAAGGTGTTTTGCTAACAATGGGGCCATAAAAATGAAATGAGCATCATAGATATATACATATATTTCTTCTGAGAGGTTATATAATTGAATTTTTATTGGTATATCTCTTCATATTATAATTGAAAATATGGGTTGTCACTCAAATACCTATATTTAAAAAAAGGGGTGAAAACAACGTTATTCAATAAATCTATCTGTGACCATGAAATCTATAAGGAAAACACAAAGGAAATAATTCAAAATGAATCTTAAAACTTATATAATAGGTACAGCCTACTCCACTCTGACGAGCTCCAACAGCACGAAACGCGTTCGTGGATGGCTTTTCTTAATTTATCAAGAAATTTGGGTTGACCAAATATCAGGGAACAGGTTAAATCAATATTTAGTTGATTTCTGTTCCACCAGATGGCGCTCTGCCTTCTGTAAAGCACATGTGCTCCTGGTCAGGATATGCCATTTTTTATTTTATATAATACTGTGAAAAAAAAGACAATTACAAAATTAATCCATTTCTTAACTTCTCAAGAAGCCTCTGGGACCAAAATATTTTTGATTGTAGATGTACAGCCTGCACCACGCTGATAAAGACCAACAGCCCGAAACGCGTTCGTTGTTGGTTTTTAAAATTGGTTTAGTTGATTTTTGTTCCACTAGATGGAGCTCTGCCATCTAAAAAAGCTCATATGAGTATGATCAGAAAATGCTTTTTTTTTTTAATTTTAGATAAAATATGCTGGTAAACATATAGTCAATAAAATTATTATAAACTCATTGAGAGAAAAAACAAGAAAGTGGAAAGTCTTTGCTGTTGTCCTTTAACACGTGTGACAGTGGTTGTTCTAAGCCAGAAATAGTCTCCTCATTGCGACTGCTGTGAGAGAGATGCATGGATACATCTGAGGATCTTCATTGGACACCAAAACAACAACAGAAAATCACCATTGACCCAGAACAGCAGCTTTACAAACCCAAGATACCGTTTATAGGTCATCTGCTTTTTTTTTTTTGAAGGAGACAGAGGCAATTTTGTTCATACCTGGTTATCTCTTACAAATTAGAAAGATAAGCAAATATGAGGAATTTTAGAAGTATAATTGTAATGTGTTAATATAACTTTATTGTATGTTTACATATGTGCAATATATTCTAACCAGAAGACTTGAAAATAGTATTTATTTTCAATGCAAACAACAAACATAGTTAACACGATTCCACATTAAAATACAAACGAGTCTATATACACAAACACTACATATACATTAAAATATACAGTTATCAGCGTCATAATAAATTCTTTCTTAATCAATTCTGTCACCGTTTGCTTTTGTGAATGGAATAAATACCCAAATATGGCCATTTCTCATAACCATCGGTTGTTCAGTGGTAGAATGCTCGCCTGCCACGCGAGCCGCCCGAGTTCGATTCCCGGCCGATGCATTTTTTTTTTTTTTTTACAATTTTTAAAACTCATTTATATATTATACAAGAATGACATCCACGACGCGAATTTATAATTGTAACGAATAGTATTTGAATAAAAGCATTTAATCGGGTAAAATCCCGGGCGTTGCCCGGGTTATTCGGCTAGTATACATATACTCACAATTATCATCATTAACTCTGTGTACAAACAATTAAATAAAAACAAATATTAAACTAATTAGGCAAAATATTACATGTTCGAAGTGTCTTTAGAAATAGATTTTCTTTTGTAAAACTCG